CTAAATAGGCTTAACCTAGTTGCTTTTTCTCAGCCTCAATATGGGGAGAAACCATAGGACCCAACTCCTTTTAGGTGGCGATGCCCTGGACTGAACCTGGGGCTTTATGAATGCATATTCCTAGATAACAACAACAACAAAAATTTATTTATACCCTGCCCAACTGACTGGGTTGCCCCAGCCACTCTGTGAAGCTTCCAACATATTTAAAAACATAAAAAACATAAAACTTTTTTTAAAAAAACTTCCCTATACAAGGCTGCCTTCAGAAGGCTTCTAAAGGTTGTACAGTGGTACCTCGGGTTACATACACTTCAGGTTACAGACTCCGCTAACCCAGAAATAGTACCTCGGGTTAAGAACTTTGCTTCAGGATGAGAACAGAAATCGTGTAGCGGCACAGCGGCAGCAGGAGGCCCCATTAGCTAAAGTGGTGCTTCAGGTTAAGAACAGTTTCAGGTTAAGAACGGACCTCTGGAATGAATTAAGTTCCTAACCCAAGGTACCACTGTATAGTGACTTATCTCCTTGGCTCGGGGACTGCATAACTCCATACCAGCCAACATTTTCCCAATGAAAATAGGGGTATCCTAAGGAAAAGCGGGGCATTCTGGGATCAAATCAGAAACCGGGACAGCTTCTGTAAATGCAGAAGTGTCCCTGGAAAATAGGTACAACTTGGAGGGTCTGTGAATGTTTGGAAAGTGGACAAGCAGCTCCTGTCCTTTGGATGAGCCCTTTGTCTCCTGGGCCATTCTGTGGGTTCAGCTGAGTCCCACTTGCCATGAACCTCACTCCATCTTTTGCTTTGGTGAGCTGCATGTTCCTCCAGCACTCCAGACTGGCCTTTTAGGGGAGCCGCATACCTCTTGCCAGGCTGCTTCACAAACCCTCTTTGCCTGTCCTGCTTTTCAAGCCATTCCCAGGCTTCCTTTGCCTTTCATTTCCTTAATCTTAAATTGCATCCAAAAAAAGGCAGAGATTAGAGGTAAAACCTCAATAAAAGGCTGAACAAAAGCCGGTGCCCACATTGCTTTCTCTTATGTTGCTCGGCTCCCTTTCTCTCTCTCTCTCTCTCTCCTCTTCTTTCCTTGTGTTTGACAGGTGGAGTGTCGGAACCTCTTTTTAAAAAATAAAAAAATCTTTAGATTAAAACACTATTTAGAAAAGGCCCTGCAAGTTTGAAATCACCTGTGGTTCATACATTAAACATCAAATGTACATTAACTCTGAATTATGGACATGAAAAGCAAATCCTTTAATACCATTTTCTGTGTTCCAGTGGCTGGAGCTTAGCATTTAATGGGCCTCTTTGCAACACAGTCAATGGGAAAACTCCCTCGTTTGCGTATCTTTGTATCCTCTGACATTCATTGACGGGCAGTATCTTGCTTTTGAGGAGCATCACAGGTGTGGAAAGGCAACGACAGGTACCAACTCCCATTTCAGCTGCCGAGCTGCTCTTGGTTCCACACCTCTTTTGTTTTCCAAAAGGGGTGTGTACATTCCTGCCCGGAGAAATCTGAAGTCAATGCAGTGTAGAAATAAATACGAACGGGAAAGTTGTCCCCCGGTTTAGGGACACGGCAGAAGACAACAACATTTTAAGTTCCCCAGGGCAGGGACTGCATCTTGCGCTAATGTTTCCCTGCAAAGTGCTACATGCACTGATGTTGCTATAATAAAATCACAAAGGCAGTGGTAAATTCTGAAGCATAGGAGCTCATGATGGCAGCCTCCCATAGTGAACCTCAAAGGAGAGTTTAGAATTGCAGGTGGCTACGTTGATCCATTATTTTATATATTACACACGCACAACCGCCAAAGAGCAGCAATACATGGCGTAATACCCATTTTATTAGGATTAGCATGGCTGTCACCCTGTGCCGAATTTCCTGGGAGTAAGCTTCTTTGAACTCAGTGGTGCTTACATCTGACTGCACAGGTTCATCTTGTAAAACACGCTGGGTTTCAACAAAAGATCTTCAGCTGGCTGAATTGCAGCCTTTAGCTTTTCATCAGGAATGCAAACAGTCTTGCAAAAAAATAAAATTAAATGAAAAGATCTGTTGCCATTTAAAACTGCTAACACAAAGTAGGAAAGAGGACCTTCTTGTTTTTCCTCATTCTCTGGGTTCCTCTGTATGTGAATCTGTCACAGACAAATTTGAAAGTCTCCTTATCACCTCATCTGCTGGCCAGAGTAAGGACGGTGGGGCAACTGGTTCTGGCAGATGACATGTTCACTGCTGCTCTGAAAATGGCCCTGGAGCTGTGCTTAACTCTGCATTTCCAGATGGAGGGCACAAGGAGAATGGGACGACAGAGGACGAGATGGGTGGACAGTGTTCTTGAAGCTACTAACATGAGTTTGACCAAGCTGCGGGAGGCAGTGGAAGACTGGTGTGCTCTGGTCCATGGGGTCACGAAGAGTCGGACACGACTAAACGACTAAACAACAACAACAAAACATTGGCAGAATTAAAAGTATATACATGTATAAAATCCATTTGAAACATACATATAATTGCAATAAAAGTAGCACGGCACCAGCAATAAAAGCAGTCAGATCTTGGATGCAAGATGGATGTCTAAGCAAGAATCCCAGAGGTTAAGCAGTTCCCCACATAACCCTCTTTTTCTCTTCCATGACTGATAAAACTAGGGTTGGTTTTCTGTCTTTGCAATGCTCTCCCCAGAGAGGCTGGCCTGGTGTCTTCTCTGATATCTTTTTTAGTTTCTCAGACTATTTAGCTTTCATTGATCTGCCTATTCATGTACTGCTTTGTAGAACGACTGTTTTTAGCTTATTTTGATGTGCTAATTATTTTTCTATTGCATTCAAAATTATTTTATTGTATGTTGCCCTGGCAGTGGATTTGAACAATGTATTTATTAATGCATTTATTAATCATGCAGACTAGCAAAAAAAAAAAAAAAAAGCAGAAGCAATTGTGCAGAACATGCAAATCTGCCGAATTCCCATAGTCTTGCAGCTGTTCCTGGCTCAGAATTTCAATTTTCGCAAAATGTACTTTGTAATTATTATTTTTAAAAGCACAGTGCGTGCGTCGTTCCAGACACTGTGCAAAACGGTCCTGCGAAGGCTTCCTAGGCAGCCATTCATATCCCAGGTGCAGATTCCCTGCAGAAGGGCATTTGCAATACTGGCCTATATGTCACCCAACTGGTCCAGAAGAAAGATGCTTCATAAACCCTGTCAGGTCACTGAGCGCACTCATGTTGGCACCATCTCAGTGCTTCTACTGCTCTCTCTCTCTCTTGCAACATCTCTCTTCAGCACTGCGATTATTTTCTGCCTTAGGGCTGGTGACAAGTGAACTATAGGCAGCGCAACGATAAATAATAAATACAAAATACGGCACCTCTCCAATACAACCTGACAATTAATTAAAAAGAAAAGCAGCACTAACAATGGTACTGTTGAAAGAATAGTAATGAAAAGGAATGTTTGTGAGCTCTCCCAGATTCCTCCTCTTCAGTTGCTCATGGTTCCAAAGAACAAAGGGTGGGGGAACTGGACCTACATGACCCTTAATTTTTTTTTTAGAAAGGATAAACTGCAAACCAACCATAGAAAATGGGCACAATTAATTCCAGCCTTCGTGCCAGCATTGTATGAGCTGCTTTTATTTCAGAATCTTGCTGAAAGTTGTCACAACTTGTCCTTGTTTATTATTAATAATATTAAAATGTTATTAAGTGTGGTGGGAACAGAAATCCTGGGAGATTAATCAATCCAGTTAGCAGAGGGCAGGGAAGGCTTGGCGCTGCTGCAAACTGCCATCAGTGAAAGCCCAGAAGGGAGGGTGGTGAGCTGGGTGCCCACGAAAACCAGGCACAGCCAGGCGCAAAGGGTGACATCAGGGTCTGTATGGTTCAATCCTGGCATTCTCTTTAATTCACGTCTACCCAAACCCAGCAAAAGTCCCACTCATATCTCTTGTTCAGTACAGTCTTGCAGATGACAGTTGGCTAGTAAGTCTGAAGCAATGTCCAGACCCTTTGGGTGATGCAACCATGGGGCTTGCTAGCCTGCCATGTGACTTTCCTAGTGATCAGCTACCCTGCAAGAGATCACATGATTCTTGGCCTATGGAAGCATCATATGGATAGGTGTGGGCAGGGGAAATGAGGCTAGGCAAGAGGTCTATGGAGGGGAAAGATGGTATTGGGTGAGGTGGGAACTGCGTACTTGGCTGCTGGGTTAAGTCTTCTATTGGCCAAAGAGAGGCCCTTTGATACACAGCTGACTTGTTGAAGGAGGCGATTTGTAGACAAGGGGGTGTGTGTCTTTTGGTCTTGGGCCAAACCTTGTTTCTTTCAGGATGCCATGCTTTAATGTTCCCATGTCCATCACTCCATACCCTACAACATTTCTCTGATGAAAACAGGGAAGTTAATAAATAATAATAATAATAATAATAATAATAATAATGCTATCTGAATTATTATTAATAATAATAATTATAATGCTATCTGAATTATTATTGTGCATGCACACGAAAGCTCATACCAATAACAAACTTAGTTGGTCTCTAAGGTGCTACTGGAAGGAAATTTTTTATTTTGTTTTGACTACAGCAGACCAACACAACTACCTACCTGTAATAATAATGCTATTATTTATATACACCCATCTGCCTGGGTTGCCCCAGCCACTCTGAGCAGCTTCCAAGATATATAAAAACATAAGAAAACATTAAACATTAAACAGCTTCCCTATCCAGAGCTGCCTTCAGCTGTCTTCTAAAGGTTGTAATCTCCTTGGCTCGGGGATCGAGCCTCCAACATTTATCCAGTGAAAATAGGGACGTCATACTCTCCAACATTTTTCTTATGAAAATAGGGAAATCCTAAGGAGAAGAGGAACATTCTAGGTTCAAATCAGAAACTGGGACAGCTTCTGCAAATCCAGGAGTGTCCCTGGAAAATAGGGACACTTGGAGGGTCTGTCACTCCCTTGGACACAGGGGAAGGGCCATAGCTCAGTGGCATAGCTCCTGCTTCACATGCATGATGTCCCAGGTTCAATCCCTGGCCACGTAGGGCTGGGAGAGACCACTGCCTGAAACCCTGCCAGTCAGTGTAGACAATATTGAGCTAGGCAGACCATTCACCATAAGGCAGCTTTCTGTGTTAAGAACAATAGAAAGGCCTGCCTTGGACCAGTGAAGAAGGCAACCTTCTGCCAACCATAAATGAGACCAGAGCCAATAATTTCCTGGTTTCTTTATCAAACATTTCTGCAAACTTCTGCTTCAGAAAACAAGGTCCATCGAGTGGAACCGCTCTGTGCTTGCCCCCTTTCTCTTCCCCACTCGTTCCCTTTGCTAAATCCCAGCTCCCTTGGTGGGACTTCAACCTAATTCATTGTTATTTTTTTTAATCTACCCAGCATTTGCCTTCTCATGTATAAATATTGGGCTGGGTGTGTGGGTTGAAGCCAGCCAGTCCTTAAGCGCCGACGCCTGACAACAGTGGCGCTTCGAATGGATTGATTTTTAAATGCAAGTGTGGAGAAGAGGAACCCGGGCCTGGCAGGATTTCCAGAGCTTTCCTCCCCAGCATTTTATTTTTCATTCATAATGGACACGTACACAAATTTGTGCTGGAATGTTTTGCAGCCCCCTGCGCCTGGTGGTTATAGCGCATGCCAAGACAGGAAAAGAATGATTAGTTATAAAAAGGAGAAATGTTCACGGCATGCGTTAGGCAAGCAGCCCCTGAGCTGGTAGAATTCACAATAAAATATTACCTTAATAATGTACTCGGGGAGACCAACATGTAAATGGGAACAGCTGCTTCTGTGATGACCAGATTACAAATGGTTGCAGCCGCGTCATTAATATTGCATTTCGACAATAATATCTTGATTTGCCGAAAGAACTATAGCCTCGCATTATTTCACCAAAAGGGAATTCAGTCACTGCTCCCCACCCCCACCCCCGTCTTTAAAGGAAGTTAGCAACATTGCGGTTATATTTCACCCGTCGAGAGCTGAGGACCATATGGGAAAATGAAATCCATTGCAGCAGCAACTGGTGCAACCACAAGGGGGTTGCAAATCAGGGTCCGGGGTATGTGAAAGGTAATATGCGGCAGCTTGGAGTACACGATTGGCCTTAAGAACATAAGCACATAGGAACAGACCAAAGACCCGTCCAGGCCTGGTGGTTTGTGAGATGGGTCCCATCACACCCACCAGGGTGGAGTGGCGTTGGCAGGATCTGCCAGAGGGGGAGGATAAGGAGGAGCCAGAGTCTGGAGGTAGGAGGAGCCTAAGTAGTCATAATTGCTGGATGTCAAAGAAGGAGAGGAACAGGTGGTTTAAGGGTAGTGCAAGTGGTGCGGTCGCACTGGGCGCTGTCCTGCAGGGGGCGCCACAACATTATGTGGAATGTAGTGCAAGAGGCGCCGAATTTTAATGATGCAGAAATTTGAAAGGTCTGCCACTGAGAGGGAGAACCATGTGGGTCAGTGCCAGAGGGTGTGATTTCCGCAGTAGCCAAAGAAGAAGAAGAGTTTGGATTTGACATCCCGCTTTATCACTACCCGAAGGAGTCTCAAAGTGGCTAACATTCTCCTTTCCCTTCCTCCCCCACAACAAACACTCTGTGAGGTGAGTGGGGCTGAGAGACTTCAGAGAAGTGTGACTAGCCCAAGGTCACCCAGCAGCTGCATGTGGAGAAGCGGAGACACGAACCCGGTTCACCAGATTATGAGTCTACCGCTCTTAACCACTACACCACACTGGCCAAGTGGCAGGCCTGGTGAACCAGAGGCAGAAGGGGTCTCCAAGGGTCTCAGGTCCCATTGCCAAAGACCCAGCCCACCTGCCAGAGCACCCACTTACAAGCTCCATCTTCACACTTGGGATGAGAACAGCATGGATGGTTGGTCCTGCCCTGCTCTTTAAAAGCGGGGTGGGGCATGTATGGGGACAACAGATCAGCTGCTGCTAGTCATGAACCTTAGAGATGAATTGTAGACCTCTGAATCTTGTATCCTGTGCTTGGAGCTGATGCGGAGACTGCTCTGATTTCTTGAATATAGCTTTGGTATTTCCTTGAGTCAAGAGCTGACATATTGCATCCAAAAGAGGAGCCAGGAGGACAGATCAGGCCCAAAGCGCCATCTAGTCCAGCCTCCTGTTTTCACAGTGGTCCACCAGATGCCTCTGAGAAGCCCAGAAGCAGGACCTAAACATCATAGTGCTCTCCAGTTCCATCTCTTCTGCGCTATTTGCAGTCCAGCCCAGAGAGTCTCTTTTAATGGCCTTCTTAATGGATCATCAACCATTTCTTTGTGCTCTTTTAATTGCCCATCTCTCCAGGCAATTACTTCATCAGGAAGCCAGCCTGACTTATTTTTTAACCTGGCTTGTGTTTTAACATGCTAAATTCAGCATCTGGCATCCTGGAATTAGAGTGGGGTGGGGGTGGGGGTCCAGAATTAGAAGAGGTATCCAGGCACCCCACAAACTTATAACATTACATTTGAATCTGCTATTTTGTTCCAAGGACATTTAATGAGGATAATCCCAGTGTGAGCATCTTTTCTTTTTATTTACATAGAACAATAGTGGAGAACTTGCGGTTCTCTGGTTGCTATTGGATTTCAACTCCCACCAGCTCCTGCCTGCATGTTCAACATTCAGGGATGATGGGAGCTTAAGTCCAGCAGTATCTGAAAGGCCACTAGCCACCATTCTTTATTTAGTCAATGGTTGCTGCTTGCCCAGTGTGAAAAGGTGGATGTGCAGGCAGGCATCATTTGACATAGAGCGGTAATGCATGGAATTATTTGAATCGGTTATTGCGAGCAAAACCTGGAGAAAATGGGATACCAATGATTGAAACGAACACATAAATGCATTTTATTTCTGCCTAAGAAAGCTGTGTGACACTCAAACATCTTGCACTTCCAAGCAGATTAAATAATTTGTTGGTCCGGCGAAGGATATTTCCTCACGAGATCTGTGGAGCCTTTCCTTTGCTCTTTGGGAAGGTGGCAACAGAGCTACTGAGATCCCGAACATTAAGAAAAGCAGAGGGGAAGCATCTCATAAACTTTCATTTTTTAAAAGACTGTCGTTTGCAGGGTGGGGGGTACCACAAACAATGCTCTACACACAAACAATGCCTCGCTGGTGTTCTGTGTTTTTTGCCTTAATGAACAGTGGTATTTATTATCAATGGCGTTTGCTCCTCTGAGTGATACACTCCAGGAATTTTGTCTCCAGCCTGTTGTTTTCCTGGGTACCAAATGCTTTGTAATTGCGGCTCATAAATGCGTCGGACGGAATTGCCATGGAAAATAACTCCTAGCTGTAAATCTTCATAATAAAAACCACCAGACCTTTTCTTTTCTATTTGGACACAGTGCCCTAGAGAAAGCAGCCAAGCTGATGCCTCGCTTTTAACACTCCCCTCCACTCCCATTCTCCTTTCATTTCAAGAACCCAAGGGGTGGAGAGTTTTACTGCAGGTACCAAGGAGAGGGGAGAGTCCAGGAAAGCCCTGCCCTGCCCCGGTTTGTGCTGGAGATGCTGTTCATCGCTGGCAACAGAGAAGTGACACACAGCAACTCGGTGCCCAGATCCAACACCACCACTTGCCTTGCGGCTCTGGCTGTAGGGAGAAAGTCATTCAAAAATGTTGAGCGTCATGCAATGTAGCTCCCATTGCCAATCATATATTCATTTCTTTGGGCCCGTCTTAAACTCTGTTTCTGAGAAGCATGGCAGTGTTTGTCTACAGGTGACTGCAGGGTCTGTTTGCACCATCATCCAGCCCAGACACTGAGGTCTAATGCCAAGGGCCTTCTGGCGGTTCCCTCGCTGTGAGAAGTGAGGTTACAGGAAACCAGGCAAAGGGCCTTCTTGGTAGTGGTGCCTGCCCTGTGGAATGCCCTCCCAGCTGGTGTCAAGGCAATAAACAACTATTTTACTTTTAAAAGACAACTGTTTAGGGAAGTTTTTAATGTCTGATGCTGTATTGTTTTTAATATTCGATTGGAAGCTGCCCAGAGTGTCTGGGGAAACCCAGCCAGATGGGCGGGGTATAAATTATAAATTGTTGTTGTTGTTGTTATTAAGAGTGTCCAAACACAAGACACTGGGTGGAGAGAAGGATCACACCTGCTCTCGGTGCTCCTTGCCGCTATGCATCTAGTGGAAGATCTGAGCAGCCATATACCAGCCTACTATTGCCAGGCATTTAGCTGCCTGAGACATAAGGCAAGATGGTGGCCTCCCTATCATGACTACCATGAGGAAGGGTCATAGCTCAGTGGTCCATCACCTGCTTTAGATGCAGAAAGTCCCATGTTCAGTCTGCAGCATCTCTAGGTGGGGATGGGAAAGACAACTCTGGATGAAACTCATCTGCTTCCATTCAGTGTGAATGATACTGAGCTAGATGGACCAAAGGTATGACTCTGTATTAGACAGCTTCTTATGTTCCAGATGGCTATGAATAGATCTCTCCTCCATGGATGTGTCTAACTTCCTCTTAAAATGATTAAAAGCTTCCACTCTCACTCAGTCTGTCTGCCTCTCTCTCCAGATTTATTGTTAACCCTACTCAAAAATGTAAAAATCTGAAAGCCAGAAAGTTGTTTAAAGTACATTTCTGCTGACAAAAGTGGAGGGGGAAAGTTACTGCTTAGATAAGTTTCCCTTGCCTGAAATGACAACTTGCCGAGTGCTCAAGATGGCTCTTTTGATTATATTTAATATGGCATGGAAATGATGTCGTCATGGTGAGACCAGATCGCTCAAGAGGGAGGAGGAGGATAAGGTGATTGGGTTTCGGATAGGAATGAATTTTGACTTTTGACAATGGGCATCTTATCACCTACACAAGTGCCATTTCTCAAATTCCCATAGAAGATTAGATGGGTATAAGAATGCAATGGTAAGAACAGTCAATAATTCAAGGGTTATTGATTGAAGCCAGCTCCATTCTTCTTTTTTAATTTATATTTTATCCAATTTTTTTCTCTATGTGTTTTATTTTTTTATTCATCTGAAGACTCGAGAGCTTTCTCC